CGAGGCCTGGCGATTCCGAGTTATACTTTCGCAAATGGTCCACACTGATATTCCTGGTGTTAATTTTATAGATTAACATTTATGTTTATGATGACGATTTAGTATATTACTCGTGTCTCTACGAAAGGACAGACGTTTTAATATCACAATTTTGTTGGCAAAAAGTACCATTCGAGTCATTTGCAATTTTTTCGCATGAATGCGATTATCTTGTTTATAATCCGGGTAGCGTGGGATTTATTACAATCTCAGTATTACCTTGTTTCCTATCTATTGATAAGATCAACGATGTTTTTGTATCTCACATAATATGGTAGACTAGTTGCTGTGATCAATATAAAATCCGTGTAATCATGATTCAATGCATCCAAGGTTGTATTTTATCAGATAGTATAAAGTATTAAAAAGTGTGTCAACTGCAGCATGCATTTATATCAACGTTTCTAAAGTAGAGCAGACAAATAATAAGAATATAAAATCGTTTGATAACTGAACATTTATTCCTGTGAATCTTACTTTATCTTATTATTAATACGAATGTATTATATAAATGGATGGATGTTTGAAGGAATCTAGTATGGATGAAATTTAGTTTAGCATACATATAGAATAGTCTGGAAGAACACATGGACATAGAATTATATTTTATATCTTCATAAATCAATTAGAAGTCCAATTCCAGCCCCACTCGTGTAAAGGAGTACTGCGAAAACACACTCCCTTAGTAACGTTGAACAGTGTTCACGGCGGTTATATCGTTTCGAACTTAGTGTTTCGTTTTTGCAAATCTAATGTAATAACTTCAAATAATTTGACCAAATATCATTCATGCGTATGGGTCAATAAAAAACAATATACGGTTGTTAATTTTTTTTTAATAAAAAATACAGTAAAGACAATATAATTGACATTTTACACTATTTATTATATTTCGATGGTTCCTAATAATCGTGTTTTGATCGCATGCGAATGCAACACACGATAGACAACCGACTTCTATTTTTTTTTATTTTACATAATTATACTAACTAAAAAAATTAACAATATACCAATGCCAAAATTGGCGGATACGATTATTTACGTGGGGACATAATTTTTATTATATGTATACTTTACATACTGTATATTTTTATTACATTTTATTATACAATAATATCATATGTTTATAGTATCACAATTCACAATCAAAAGTATTTTCATAATCAAAATTCACCTTACGCCCACTTATAAATCTTAATTATTATTTATCTATACTTAACTTATGATAATGAGTATGACTGCTTTTACTGTTAATAACAGAGATAAGTTAATAGCTTGAGATTTAATTAATGTCAATATTTTTTTAGAATTTTCAACTAAATACATTCATAACTGTCATGTTCCCGTGCTATAGTTCTCTTTTTCATTATTTTTTCTATCAAGTTCGACGGCCTCAGGTGAAGCATCCCTATGTTCCTTACTCCTATACGCGTCAGGCCCAACTAGCGACAATATTACAGGCAAAAATACTAGACCATGGAACAAACCAAATAATATAACGAGAAGGAAAATCTTGAAAAATGACTGGAAAGTATAAGCTTTCGATGCCCCTAATAACGACAGAGATAATAAAGTGGAACCACCACCTAATAAAACTGCAGTACCTATGGAGGTTACTGTCGCAAAAGCCCGTTCATTGCGTGATCCATTCGTCATCGTTAAGAAAGTATGACCAACATGAGCAGCGTAGTCTACACATAAACCTATTGCTAATTCCAGTCCAATACAACAGACAATGTCTACCGTCATACCCCACCTTTGCATCCAACCCAAAACGTTAATGATAGTTATTAATACACAAATAAATATCCACAAACACATTTGAAGATTAGTTATCAGTACAATAGTACAGGCCATGACACAAAGCAATGCTAGCTCAATATTTCTCTCCATTTCAAGTCCTATAATCTCATCTGTTACCCAATTGGCAAATACTTTAGCCCAAACACTTCGATAGCCGTCACCAGTAGTTATGTTTGCAGATTTAACCACATTCTTTACGTAATTCATTGCTGGTATGTATTCTTCGGGACCTTGAAAGTTTTTAAGTCTAAATGACATAAGTGAACCCTGAATTTCAGTCGCCGGTCGACCACAAACTAATGGTTCCTTCAGTTTTAAGTTAGCCCGAAATTTGCCACCGACAGGACTGAATAAAAATCTAGACAAGTACCTATTAAATTCGGCATCAGTGATATTATTTCTTAGATCGCGTGCATAATTAATCAAGACATACCTATAAAATCCTTCTATCCAGGGGTCTACGTCCATTACATAGGAACTATTACCTAATTCTTCCATTATGTTTAAAATATTTGAAAATTCATAATTGTAATTTATTTTTCCTAAAAATACCATTGCATCTTGTCCCTGCTCTGGATAATAATATTCGTAAACCGAAATAAATTCTCTATAATAAGAACTTTCAGGTATAAACCATTTAGGATCAAACCTTTGTTCTAACTTTAATGTCGATTGTATACTAAAACATGTCATAATTAAAGTGAACAATATAACAATTGTTTTACCAGGTTTCGTAAGAACAATGTATTTGTAGAATCCAGAAAACAGTTCATGACATTTTGTTTTATTCTCTGCTAAAGCAATTGGTTTTTTATGAGTGTAACAAAATAGGAAACCATTTCTATTTTGTTCAATCCTTTTTAAGTCTAACGTGAAAGCTGCAACATAAAATGTCACAGAGTAGCAGAAGACAAAGAATACACCTACAGCACTGTAGATACAAAATGATTTTAAAGAGGGTAAAATGGTGATAGCACCTATGAGTAAGGCAACAATATCAGTAACTGACGTTATTACTATAGATACACCTGCATGCTTTAACATTAGCCCTACTTTAGTGGGTACACTTTTCGAAGACTTTGAAGTTGTAACCATTTTCCAACAGGCATTCATCACAAACATATCATCTATACCTAAACCCATTAGAAGAAATGGCAATGAAGAGTGCACTGGTCCAAACGGTATACCAATGATGGAGCACCAACTAACTGCTGTCACATAGGCCATTCCTACACACAGCAGTCCCACACTGCCTAATGTTAATCTCACTTCAAGCCAATTACATCTTGATAAAGCTGTTACTGCATAAATAAACATCAAAAATATACCAATAAACAATTTATCCATATCATGAAACATGGTTTCTCCACTAACATCAGCAAAGCTGCGTCCAGCCTCATAATATAGTTTTAGACCTTTTACATTGGAAGATAAATTAGCCATTTTTAATAAAAATTGTTTTTCCCACATACTTAATTGTATTGATTGCCAGTCTTCTGTGCCAACCAAGTTGCCAGCTTCATTCATATCTTCATCGGACATATTGACATGTGTATACCATGTGAACAGCACAGATTCTGCAGAAACTATATGTCCTGTGTTGTTGTACTTAATTCCGCCAAGTAACTTTGAATAGTCCACTGCATGACCAGATATAGGATTAACTTTAACTTGGTTTACTAGTCTTATTATTTCATCTTTTGTAACATTTTTCACTGTACTATTATTCAATAAATCAAGTATGTTATATTGTAGGCAGGTCATTGTAAACTTATCTAAAACTCCGCAGTAAAGTTCATCATCAAACCATAGGGTTGCATCACTAAATTCACTATTACTTTTTTTCTTTTTGAACACTGATTGATTTGCATTTATACCCCCCTCAGATCCGACATTTTCATTTGAGTTTAAAAAATTAACTACAGGTACTTCATAACAAAAATCCTTAATTGTATAGTTTCTTGATTTGTAAGTTATTGTCAGGGAGTCTATTTCATTGGTAATTGTGTTCATAGTTTTAAACACTTCTGGCTCCAAAACATTGTCTGATTTTATAAGAATTTTTTGAAATCTGAAGGAGGTTCCAAATTTGTCTATGAACCAGTTTGTGTCTATAAAGAAATCGGAGTCTGGTGGAACCCATAGCCTGAAAGGATTCTTTTCGATGTGAAATCTTAATAAACCAAAACAACTTATGATTACAAACATCCATACTATGGATATCGTCCGCCATGGATGTCTTGCTATGTTAACACCGAGCACATAAAATATCCGTTCCGTAAAGTTAACAAATATCGATGATATGTCTTCCCATATTTGCTGGAGAGACCAACTACACTGCTGATTAGGCATAGGTGTTAATAAACAATAACTTTTTAAATTTTTTAAACACAACACTTATAGTTCCATTTATTTTTTATATAATCATTAGTCAGTAAATATACAATTACAATCTCGGATCAAAATCACAATAAATTGGCTACACACTTTTTGCATTTTCATACATTTTTTTTAATTTTAACCACTTTTAAGCGTTATTTCGCGGGAACATAATAAATTTGACTGATGGAAATTGAAAATTCACTGACGTTGTCCATTGATAAAACAAAGAATCAGTATTAGAGATAGAGATGGGATGATAAAAAATAATCGATTTTATTTTTCAAACAAATCGGTTTTAATTAATCGATTTCAAATCCAATAATTACTTGATTAGATCGATTTTTTAAACAGGAGTAAAGATTAAACATAAATGTTTTAACAATATATTAATTGATGAATTGCAAGCATTTTACATTATGACAGCATAGAGCCTCCAGGACTAAACCGATTTTTATGAGTCGATTTGTTTTCTTCCAAGAAATATTCTAGGGTTTCTGATTTTTTTATTCCATTCAATAAACAGGTACTTTGGATCACAATTTATTTTTTTATTTCTTACCCGCATGATAATGTTAAATACCTAGTTATAAGAAGTGTATAAACTGTCGGACTAAACTTTATGCTATACTCTTTGGACTCTATCCGGCCGTCAATCAAATCAATCTAAGCGTGTCAAAAGTCAAAACAAAGTTTTAGAAGCCTAAACTTAAGACAAAATAAAATGAATATTTGCTGATAAACTTAAAAACTCAAAGTTTTCCTGATTTTTTATAATGATGTGGACAACAAAAACCTTTTTAACAAAAACGAAACGCGGTAACATTTTAAAAGTAAGGTTATGTTAATTTTCTATATTAAATTTTGTATACCACAGTCTAGTTTAATCTATCAGTTGCCTTTATGGTAAAATCTCCTATGTGAAAATATTCTTGTCGTATGAAATCTTGAATGAAACGTAGTATTCTATACCAAATAACTTTTATGACTTGTTTAAGGTTGTTAGGGAGCATTACTTAAGAGACGACTTATTGTGTGGGTCATCCGCTTGCAACAATTGCCCACATAAAGATAATGATTATGTCCTGGAAGCTAAGCCGCAGTCCATCTGCGCTCTCTTTGATTATGACCATTATTTAGTACTGGATACCAATGTGGTGTTACATCAAATAGACATTCTCGAAGAGGAAGCGCTAAAGAATGTTATCATTTTGCAAACAGTGCTAGAAGAAGTAAAACATCAAAATACAGCTATATTTCAAAGATTGTTGGAGATAATAGGCAATAAAAAGAGAAGGTTTTATTCCTTCGTTAATGAGCATCACAAGTTAGTATTAATTAACTCCGTTAACCATTTTATCAATTAACACGTTAGCCGCTATGTCGGACTATATGTCCGACGAGCTAATGTTTCAATCAGTCCGTGTTGGACCATGTGTCAAACAAGCCATACTTCCATTCAACACCTGGCTGTGTTGTCGGATGCTTTTTAATCGAATTGTTGTATATAGCGTGACCCGCAAGGCACCATAAAACTTATAAACAGCGGGTAATTTTTTTTCGTTTTTCGTAAAATCATTTTGGCAGCTAACGTGTTAATATGAATTCCATTCTTCCTCTATTTTTTTTGCAATTATTAAGATTATTTTCATTAACTATCAACTTTTTAATTATACAGAGATACATATGTTGAACGAAATCCTGGTGAGAAACAAAATGATAGAAATGATCGTGCTATACGTAAAGCAGCATCATGGTATGCGTCACATTTGAGTATCAATAATTTGAATGGACAATTTCCCCAGATTGTACTACTCACAGACGATGAAAATAATAGAAAGATTGCACAAGAAGAAGGAATTGTGTGTTGTTCAGGTACATTTTAAACATGTATAAATTATTTTTAACTCCTTAAATATGTAGGATTTTAATATTTACTTCATTATGTATTAAAAAATGTATTATTTAATTTATGATATTTTTAAATTTCAGTTAAAGATTACATAGAAAATGTCAATGGTTATGTTGGACTTATTGACAAATTGTCAAAAAATGTTATACCAGAAAGCTGTTCCAAAGATGCATTGTACCCTGCACATTTGACACCGAGCCAGGTTCATGCTGGCATTAGGAATGGAAAGTTGTATCAGGGAACATTTTACGCGTCACGAGATAATTATTTAGAAGGATCAGCAGTCATTAGTTGCTTTGAAAAACCGGTGAATATTTTGCTAAACATTATTTGTTAAATATTTTATATCTCAGATATTTTTATCTCACTGATGAGAGTCATGTTTTCCGCTGGTATATAGGTATGGGAATACCACTATGGCCTCCGGTAGCCTAAGTAGTTGAATCGATAATAATAAGTGAGGTGACATTTGATTTTTTCCTAGAGATTGCTTTTTTCGTAAGATACAGTCAGTTGGATTTTCTTTATATTTTACAATCAGTTATTTTGTTTTTTACAGATTCTTTTACAAGGTCATATCGGTATCAACCGAGCTGTTGATGGTGATATTGTCGCAATAGAAGTATTACCGAAAGAAGAATGGCGAAAGCCAAGTGATATAGTTCTAGAAGACAAAGCAGATGACCAAGGAGACCTTCTAGAGGAAGAATCGGAATTATTACCAACTGTAAAACCTAAGGATAAAAGTGATGAAGAAATAACACCAACTGGAAAAGTAGTAGGAATAATAAGAAGAAAGTGGCGTCAATATTGTGGGATATTAAAACCTAGTAAATTTGCAGGTATGATTTTTTCGATATTTTTGTTTCAAATAAAAAAAAATTTTTAGGTTATATACATATGTAAAATACAGTAGAACCTGGATAAGAAAAAGTCCTATATATTTTCTCTTATTTTTTTTTCTCTAACCCAAGTTACTTGCTTATGGGGGTTGTCTAGATAGTGACTCGCCTACTGTAATTCCTTGCTTTTTCATTTCTCACTTATCCTACGACCTTTGAGAGTAGTATAAATGTGTTATAAAATATACTGTAAATATTTTATGTGAACTTTAACTATATTTTTTTTTTCAGGAGCAACACGTCATTTATTTACTCCAGCTGAGAGAAAGATTCCTCATGTACGTATAGAGACACGGCAAAGTGATGTTCTTGCCTCTCAAAGGATTCTTGTAGCTCTTGACTCTTGGCCTAGAAACAGTCGGTATCCTTTAGGACATTTCGTTCGCTCTTTGGGACCAATTGGTAAGTACACCTTTTTTTTAATAAACATATAACAGCAAAAAAAAACCTCTGCTGCAAAGGCTACAATAATATATTTTTTTTACTTTTTAGGTGACAAAAATGCAGAAAATGAGGTAATTTTACTGGAACATGACATACCACATGCTCGGTTCAGCGAGTCGGTGCTGGCTTGCTTGCCACCTGAAGACTGGACCATAACGGAAGAGGCAAGATCATTGTTTTTAATATAACAAATTTGATGACTAAAAAAAAAACAGCATAAAGATATTTTAATACAAAGATTTTTCTTAATCAAGAGTTATTTAGTAAATATGTCTAGAATATTTAATTATAAACAAAGATTTTCGAAGCTTTAGTTTGGGATGTATGACAATGTTTATATATTTTTATTTATTTTTTAATGATAGGAGATAAAAAAGCGCGAGGATTTACGTTCATTGTGCATCTGCTCGGTGGACCCGCCGGGCTGCACGGACATTGACGACGCGCTGCATGCGCGTGCGCTGCCTCACCGCACCGAGACCGGACTGCGCACGTACGAGGTGGGCGTGCACATCGCTGACGTCACGCACTTCGTACGTCCCAACACCGCCCTCGACAAGGAGGCTGCCTCGCGCTCTACTACAGTCTACCTGGTTGATAAGAGGATTGATATGGTTCCTGGTAAGATTCACTCATTGCTACGAAATTATCTTCTTACTAATATTATAAATGGGAATGTTTAGTTATAAAGTTTTCTTTTATATATAGACACTTACTGTCGCCTGCGACTCCGTCCGCGCGAAATTGTAATAAATTGCTCTGGTAGAACATATAGGCTGCTTATTAAGTTTTTTTCTACATCTATGCAGTCGTTTTGGAGATATCCTCTAACATCCATCCATCTAATCATTCGCTTTTATAATATTAGTAAGATTCGCCATACATTTACTGCTACTGCTGATTTAAATATATTTATTTTTACTTTACAGATCTTCTGAGTTCAAATTTATGTTCGTTACGCGGCGGCGAGGAGCGCCTCGCTTTTTCTTGTGTTTGGCAAATTGATGAGAACGCCAACGTACTTTCTACTAACTTCCATAAAAGTGTTATTAAGGTAACTTTATTTTTTACATAGATTTCATAAAAAATTAGATAGCAATAAGCAACAAATTAGACTTATTAATTTAATTGCTTCTTTTTACGATTGTTAAAACAGTTATTTATGTGTGGATGGATGGATGTTTGTTAGAAGGTATTTCCAGACCGGCTGTATGGAACACTCTGAAATTTAGCATAGCTGTAGAACATAGTCTGGAAAAACACGTAGGCTACTTTTTTTAATTCTGTGCAGGCGGAGTCGCTGGTGGCCAGTAATAAATAGTTTAACCAACTCGATTGGCTAATTTACCTTATTAAGGAAAAAATATAGCAGCAGGGAATTTAATACTGTGTTGTATGTTTGTTCAGTCTCGTTCAGCAATGACGTACGAGGAGGCTCAGCTGATCATAGACGATGTGTCGCGCGAGGACGAGATTGCTCAGTCACTGCGCACTCTCAACATACTCGCTAAGAAAATGAAGCAGAAGAGGCTTGATAATGGCGCTCTGCTGCTCGCCTCGCCTGAGATACGCTTCCAGGTATGTTATAACACTTATTTTATGCCCAGTTTACACTAACCCAGTTCAGTAATCGAACCCAGCGCTGGATTGCACATGGAAAAAAAATCTACTCTCGAATACACTGAGTGGGGAGTGGGAAATATTTCCCCTTCCTAGACGTCCCCTCCTCCGTCAAATCCACTTCCCCCTTCCATCTTTTCTTTTTAAAGAAAAGGTTTGAGGGGAAAGAAGTAAGTACAATTAGGTCTCCAGCACACACACTTATCTCTATGCGGAATTACTTCCCATTGAGGCATGTTTTCTGTGTGGTCGTGGTATTTCACCGGGCGAGCCGACACATTCTTGCAACAGATGCTGTACTGGAAATATGAAGACATTGATATCTGCAGGTGGATTCAGAGACGCACGACCCAGTGGAAGTGCAGGCTAAGAAGATATTGGACACGAATTCAATGGTGGAGGAGTTCATGTTGTTGGCGAACGTGAGCGTGGCGGAGCGGCTGGCGCGCGAGTTCCCGCAGTGCGCGCTGCTGCGCCGGCACCCCGCGCCCCCGCCTGCGCACTTCGAGACATTCCTCAAGGCTGTTAAACAACAGGTACATTAAACCTTGTTCATATTTGAAAAACAAAATTATTCTGTTCCACCGACTTATTGTTGTGATTTATTAAGAATAACTAAAAACTACTGGATTGTTGTTTTTTTACACACTTTTTTTTGGACACTTTCGAATAAAAAAATTATTATGAATCAAGAGCGGAGTTACGAAGCTACAAAAAAAACATACAGACAATTCTTAAAATAGTAGTTGTCATATAGCTATTAAATGTTTATAATTTTGTTCTTTTTAGGGTTTCGATTTAGACGTATCAACGAATAAATCGTTATCAAAGTCATTGGACCTGGCGGTGATCCCTTCGCGTCCGTTCTTCAACACTCTGGTCCGCATCATGGCGACGCGCTGCATGCAGCAGGCGGTATACTTCGCCAGCGGCACGCGACCACACGACGAGTTCTATCACTACGGCCTCGCCTGTCCTATTTATACACATTTTACTTCGCCTATACGAAGGTAAACTAACACTAACGGTCGCCCGTGACTTCGTCAGCGCAAAATAAAAGAGTAGCCTATAATATGTTCGCATGCATCGCCTATTTTTTCCTTAAAGTCCTGTCAAAATCAGTCCAGTCGTTTCGAAGAGTACTCGAAACAAACGCACAGAGGGACAAAGTTGGGCATAGGTAGAGTGAAGTTGCGCATAATGGGGACAGAGGAAGAGTAAAGTTGCGCACATTGGGGGTACAGGAAGAGTAAAGTTGCGCACAGTGGGGGCACAGTATGGCGTAATAAGGTCACGGTTGGTCACACTTAGGGCACATTTGAACACAGGGTGACAGGCAGTAGGGTTGATTATGTTATAAATTGAATGTATTTCGTACGTAGATACGCGGATGTGATGGTGCACCGCCTGCTAGCTGCGAGTATCGGCGCGGATGTGACGCACGCCTCGCTGCTGGACACGCGGGCGGCGGACGCGCTCTGCGAGAACCTCAACTACCGCCATCGTCAGGCGCAGTACGCCGGCAGAGCATCCGTCGCACTCAACACGCATGTACGACGACGCTTTTAAATACACTCTAATACTAATCACTTTAAATAGACCGGCTATACGACGATGTATTTTGTGCGTATTTGGTACTCGCCATTTTGGCCCTGATAACGGTTTGTAGCGGTGGTGTGGAACTAATAATTTAGATAGAATTAATAGTCACGTAACATCAACAGGCGCGTTTTAATCGGAACGTAGTAAAAGCAGTCAATACCAAGCAATCGCCTATCCATTTATATAGATTAGTGCTCTCAAGAGATGCTACTGCTAGTTTCAAGCGTCACTAGCTTAATGGTTCAGGTACCTGACATCTTTAAGGTTGGTTGGCAAAGTTATGTACCACTTGTAATCTAGTCTGAGTAACACTTGTATTCTTTTGCCGCCATATTGTAATTTGTTTTTGGATTTTGTATTTCATTAGCACGATTACCATTGCAGCATCAATATAAGTGCTACATGCATTTCTTTGGTATAGACAAGGAGTTTGTGTTTCACCAAAGAGGTGGCATACTGGCCACTAACACCTTAGCCTTTTTAATAAAAGAAAAATAAAGAATCGCGCGCGAAGTGACCAACGAAATGTATTTCAAATAGTGCTCGATGAATTAATATTGTAAATAATGTATACAGTTTAGTATAAGTATTTTAACAACGTAAAAAATGCATTTCGGATGTTTTTAATTTATATATGGCCCAAACAAACTGTATTAGTGAATTGGCGGAATCAAGATCTCTCACCGGGTTGTTGGATTTAAGCAATTATAGACAATTTCTTTGTGGTTTTACAACAACGGTACGTTTATTTAAACTAATTAAACCAAAAGAATCCAGGCAGCAGCTAACGAGTTACTGGGCGCTATAACTAACGTTATAGTTGTTGGGCGTTAGGAGCATTTTCATTGGATGCTAAATCTGATGTGGTCGTTACAAGCACATAGGAAGACAGCCGCTTCTTATGTTGCATCTGCGAGGCAAATAACAACAGCCGGGGCGAGTTGGCGCCAAAAGGTGCTGCGCTTCCCGCGGTCTGATGACGTCATCCGCATTTTGGCGCCGTTTTGTGTTTTTGTGAGTGAGAAATTAAATGTGAATTATTATTTTTTTTAAGAATTTTGTGTTTCGTGTTTGTGAATATTTATTTTTGTAACAGTGATTTTATGGAATAATTTGTAAAATGTTTGTCAGTTTTTTAATTTTTTAATTCTATTATTAGAATTTGAATAAGGTTAGGATTTAATGATTATTGTTTTGTATAAAGGATATTTTAGGTGTAGAGTTCTTATTGAAACATTTTGAACATAGGTTTTGTATTCTAGTGCTAGCTCGGTACTCGATTTTATAAGGAACCCGATGCTAACCGACTCAGACCAACGTACAGCATTGGGATGGATCCTGAATCTGTCCACAGCATAGAAGGAAACTCGCTTCTGTGGCTCTTTGTGCGAACTTGCAGTAAATTCTTTAGCTTAGGACTATACTAAATGTATTGTGTCATTAAAATGAACGTGTTATGATAACTGTATTTGAGTTTTGTAAAAAATTAGGAATTTAAGCCAAATGTTGTGAGTGGCTTTTAGATTATTGTTATGTCATTGTATTTATTGATCTTTTGTTTAATTTTGATATGTTTAGCGATATTATTTAAAGTCTGGTTTATGGTTGATGTTTAAAGTTTAGTTTATGATAGTTTTTTGAAATGACATTCCACTATTTAGAAGTTAAGAATCTAGGTGGTTTTCAATATGTGTTTCTGTGTCTGTAGTCAACGTTGTTAGTTTTCCTTCTCTTCTCATGGTGAACGGGGACAAACAGATTTGTGAAGAACATTTAGCAATGTTCTTGGAGGGAGTGAAGAATTATGCATCCCATGTTTTTGGTAGACAAGAAGTTTGCGTTCTACCAAAGAGGTGGCATTAAGCCATTAAGACCTTTACCTTTTTAGTTTAGGAAAAAATATAGAAAAAGAATCGCGCGGGAAGTGAACAACGAAATGTATTTGCGTATTGTGCTCGATAAAATATTGTATATATGTTTAGTGTAAGGATTTAAACAACTAATAAAGGAATTTTGGCAGCCGTGCTGCTGTGTTCAATTAATACACCAACTAACACGAGCCCCTCGTTAAAAATATACATTGTACACCAACGGTCCTGAACATAAGATTAAAATTCAAACATAATATGAATAGTTAGAAGAAATTTGACTAATCTTGTCCGTCCTTAAAACAATCATGTATTTTCTCGTCCTATCGTAATTATTGTTTTCTTTTCTACTGTATTCTTTCAGATATTATTCAAGAATCGTGTTGAAATAGAATCAGCCGTGGTGTTGGCGGTTAAGAGGAACGCTTTACAAGTCCTCATACCTAAGTACGGTCTGGAGGGACCTTTGTACTTGCCCTCTGATAAGTTTATGTACAACGAGGAGGTAAGTACATAGAATTTTGACACTAGGTCTAATAAAAAGTCCGATATTTTCTTTACTACATTGCTTAACTCGCATGCTCATATTATTTACATTTATTCTCATTATAAGCAAAATACTGTGTTTTTTTGATTTTTTGAGAAATAAACATCTTTAAACTTAACTATAAATGTTGAAAAAATAATGTAACTTGTTTCAAACAAAAATATATATAAATCCCCACCATATTGTGATATCACAGCTATCAAAACAAAAGTTGTAGTAGCTAAAGAAATGCAGAATGTTTAGGTTCTTTTGTAGAAATATATAATTTTCCAATGATTTTTTGGTCATCAACAACATCCCTGTCAGAAATTTATTAATTTTTTTACATTTATAATTTATTTTGATATACATTGATTATTTTGTTCACATCTCTTCCATAGAAAAGATTTAAATTCACACATTAATGTATCTTAAACTTTTTATTCGTTCCAGGAACACATACAAGTTTGCGATAAAATAGTGTTTAAAACATTCGATGAACTAACGGTAAGGCTTACATTGGACAGCTCCAACTTACAGCACAGAAAGCTGGTGTTCCAACTCGTAAAGCCGTGTATACCCGGCTTTAGTTACGTACCAGAGGACGAAACAGGACAAATGGACGTAGAAATCATAGACGTTGACAAAAGAGAAGTCAAAGAACCGCTCAAAACTCCTAAAAAGCGGAAAGATAGTGATGTTATGAAGAAGAAGAAGAAACTCAAGAAATAATATGTATAGTCTGTAAATATATTTTTTACTACTATGTTCTTTTGTATTTTATTTGCCTCGTTGAAAATAGAACTTAGAAGTTAATTTAATTATGACACGAAAAATATATTTCTTAACTATGGTCAGACAAAGTCAATGGGTGTCGCTACAATTTGCCATAGATGTAGAACAGACTGGAAAAACAAGCTACTTACTAAGTTTTTATGAAATCGCACAGGAGTCTAGGGCGACAGCTTGTACAATGCTTAAAAGTAGATTTTTATTTCTCAAATTCATTAAAAAAATACATTTAAAGACATGTTTTTGTGTTTTAAAAATGGCAAGCCACAGTAAGGTAAGAAATAATATCACAGAAATATATTTTTAACTTTATTACAATAATATTTCTTAATCTATATAATTTTATTCAGTCGATATTGTTTAGTTGAAATTTGAAATATACACATCAGTTTTCTTTTTCAATATTTATGTAAACAATTGTTATAATGAAATTAATATTAAATGACCCCAATTTATATCCCAAATTGAACCCCAAAAAGAACATAGCATAAACTACGTGTGCTCAAAAATTCTCAAATATTAACGAATTCAGAACCAAACCAAAAGACCCAAATGAACTAAATAGTACATACAAACATTGAGAAAATTAATTTATTTCAAACTTACAAGAAAATTTGAAAAGATTTTATAAAATGAATGATTAAAATACGGTAGATTTAAACTCTTGGTGTGACTTTGACCCAGCCATCTGGGATAGATGTGATGATGCCTTGCAACCTCACCGCTGGCTCTGTCTTAGGCTTGCCGTCAGCTGTAGACACCTTGAACGCCTGCATAAAGCACGAGAACACCTGGAACATGGTCTGACGTGCGAACGTCTCGCCAGCGCATATTCTACGACCTGCAACACAACATTTATATCGTCAACACCTACTCCGTAATAAGATGAAATAAGTTAGCTATACGTATAAATGTAAATAACTCAAAAATTACTTGTCAGATATTAATTTTACAAACATGGCGCCCCACGGCAGTCATTAGCTTTCAAATAAAAAAAAGATCATGTTATTGATCGACCAAGAGTCAAGCTATGCGGTAACTCGCATAAAAATATACGAGAACGTCTTTCTTGTTAAAAATAGAATCTAGATTTGCTCTATAGGATATGAAATCTCAGGTTTTTTGAGAAGGAATAAGAGAATTATCTTTCCTAAATCGTTTAGTTTCTCTTACCTGCTCCAAAAGGTAACGTCTTGTCCTTGCTGAGCTGCAGCTGTCCGTTCTCAATGAATCGCTCAGGTCTGAAGTTCTCCGGGTCACCCCAGATCTCCTTGCTCATGTGCAGGGTCACAAAGTTGAGATTCACCATCGTGTCCTTAAAGTAAAGGTAATAGTTAGAAATAAATGGACGGGATAACACGTATCCAATTCGTAACTCACGACTTAAAGTATCAAGTCCAGTCTGACTATTATGACTACAGTATATCTAGCTAGAAGTCTTCTCTTTAATTGACTCATTATCGTCGAAAATAATGTTTTTTAAAAGATGATTAAATTGTAGTTTTAGTTAATGGAAACGTGACGCTAACAAAGAATAGTTCACTCTACCAAAAGCAATCAAATTTGTGGTACAGATTACAAAAAGTGTTATTATCTTGAGCTTGTCAGTCCAATGCTAGACATATAAGGCATATACATTCCTAAACATGGCATCCTTTGTTTTCGTGTGCCTTAACAACAATTCTCCCTTTCTCTAAGCAATAGGCAATTGATCAAAAGTGTATAAACATTGGTTTGTATAATAATTACTTGTGGTATATCGTATCCGCCTAGCTTGGTGTCTGAGGTGGCGCGGTGAGAGACACCAAGCGGTACAATCGTGTCCATGCGAAGTGCCTCTCTGATGCAAGCCTCCGTGTATGGCATACTACAACAAACAAGTCAAGAAGTGAGTTAATGCTTTTAAGTTACTTCTTCAGTAACATATGTATTAAAACGAATTGTCTTACTTTTTGCGATCGTCGAGCGTCGGCATGCGGTCGCGACCGACGACTCTGTCGATTTCCTCGTGTACCTTGTCCTGCACTTCTGGATGTAACAGCAGACGGTCCACTAACATAGTGAGTAAGGCCTGTACGGCTGATGCCGCGGGGAACATGTAGTCTGTGCACAGCAATACCAACTGGTCCTCTGAGATAAAACGAAGAGTTATTGTAATGTGATGTCATATGTGCAAAAATATTCATTTGTTGGCAAACAGTGTAGAGTTTGTCTTCCTAAATATTAATTCGCTACCTCGGTGTCTTCGACCTGATTAACGTCATTATAAAATTAATTAAATATTTGTTGGTATAGGTAATTTAATAGGGTTTTTTATTGTGATCTAGTTATTCAGCACATAAAAGTAAAAACAAATTCACCTGAGTACGTTGTTTTGTTTAATTTCTTTTCTTCATTCATTTTTCTGATATAAATATCGAGGAAATGGCGATCGTAATCTTCATTAAAAGTGTCTATCGCGTCCCGTACTAGTTTCTAAAATCAAATAAATATTTAAATATTACCTACTTGAAAATATGAAATACCATGTGAGAGTGTACCCAGTTTATTTTTTTTCTTGAATTAAGTTTAGACAAAAGACAATTTTATTTCTTTAATAAAAAACAACTCATTTGTACCGTAAAGAAATCCAGTAGGGCCTGATTGCCGTCCCTCAAATCTTGGTAACCGCTATATTTAGGCATGATATCCTTCAAGCAGGGTGTAAGAGAAAGGGCGGCACCCAGGTCGTTTGAGCTTCGTTGGAAGAGTAGGGCGCCTCGGGCCACGTCCCACAACTTGTGGTATTCAGACCTAGGGACTGTCGAACGAGTCACAATGTGAATGACTCCGTTAATAAATGGCACCGCGAAGTAATGTGGCAGATGGATCAGGTCTCCATTCACTAGTTCCTGAAAGAAGATAATAAAAAAATTATACTACTTTAACAATTTTGCTTATTCTTTCTTTCATACTTTTCTATTTTTCTTAACTCTTAACAATATGCATTATAAAATAGGAATTATTTACTATGTATTTCTAATTGTAATTTTCGCATAAATGTTATTTTAAGATATGTGTCATGACGTCACAATATGGCGGAGTCGTGCACATTCTTATTTAAAACGTGTTATAATAAGATACCTTTTCAGCAGGATATTTAGGCCCGTTTATTGACATGTCGATCATTTCTTTAATTTCCTGTGCCACTGTTGATTCGAGCGTGTCTTCGCGCTTCCCGAACCCGTAGTCCCTCATGTGGCGCAGTGTAAACCGACGCTGCACGTGCCAGAAGTAACCGTCCGTGAAGAATATGCCTTAAATTAATAACTTAGATTTAATATTAATTTGAACACTATGGCGTCCTTGTCGATGGAGGAATTTATAGTCCTACCCCACTTATGCCATCTTTTTTGCCTCTTGATACGACGTAATTATTAGCAAAGAAAAAATATTGGATAGATGTTTTTCTAACAAAAGATTTTTTTCAAAATCATAAATCGTAATTGAAAATTAAAACAAAAACACCTAATTTACTTTAAATTATTAAAATAAAAACACCGCACAAACACAACACGTATTGGCGTAAAAAATTATATTCCTTTAAGACAGAATGAAACACTTACCCAATTTTTTCCAGAAAGATCTCAAGCGACCCATAATGAGATCCATGCGACCATCGAACTCTTCCCGGTTGAGAACTTCTTTAATAAGCGCCGGGTCGTTAACGACAACCGATGGAATATTTGACAGGTAGAAGCCAACCACTTTCGTGTTGTATTCTTTTGCATATTTAATGAATGCAGTTGGTAAATTGTTAAGTCCTTTTAATAGTACCAACCAATATGCGCCGTATATTGGGAGACTCGGTGGGCCTAAAACCATAACTTAATTAAGACATTTCGATCACAATTTTAATGATATAAATTAACAATTTTCAACTTGATTATATCAATTTTTAGATATTCTGAATGGCAATTATAGTTATAAAAAATTTTTAGTTAATAATATTTAAAATAATTTTTACAGCGTTTTAGATATGGCAGAAACATTAAAATGAAGCTTTTACATTTATCATAATGGTTCAAATTTTTAAATGTAATATTTTTATTTAATAAAACGTAGTATTGCACTAAAATCTATTATTAATTTAAATTTAATATATTCCGTTTTATTTTTTAATTAAAAAGTAATTATTAAGTAATTACATCTCCGAAGCTTACCTGGTGGAAAGTTGTCATGTCTCTTATATGCGTTTTTATAAAGATGGGCAAAAAGGCCCATAAGTATAATAAGCAATATTGTTGTACCAATCATCCTGTACCCCCGACTGGAATACCGGACTGGTATAATGCCGCCCACCGAATACCAAAAAAAACTTTGGCAATCGCTTATATAGTAATTGCTATACAGATAGAAAATTATCTATAATTGGTTTAACCTAAACATATGTTATCAAACGAGGTAATTGCTTTTTTTATTATATAAAACAACGTAGCTCAGGGGTGTCGGATCCAGATTTATAAAGACTTTAAATCTTATATTATTTTTGAGGTATATTCCTTTTGCACGGGATAATATACTTCAACTTATTAATAATACCACGGTTAGCGTAATATAGACAAATTATGCGAAAGTTGACGGGCATAGACAAGAAAGTGTTGTGTTCACATGAAGTTTTATAGCTACAAAGTTAGACGGCCGAAAAGAAAAAGTAATAGGGGCATATGCGTAAGAAGAGAGTTAACTCAGACGACGTCTGAAAGAGTACATAGATGTATAGAAGTGTTAACATAGACATCGGCGCGGTGAACCCCCGTATTAAAAAAATACTTTGTAGGAATTGCAGCAATACTTATACAAATATCCAAAAAGAAGTCAGTAAGGATGAAGCGTTAGATGTATTAGAAGATTCTACATACGAAACATGATGATATATTTGAAACTAGCTGTCGACCGCGAATCTGTCTACGTAAAAAAATTTAATTAGTTCCAGACA